AGCTCTAAACCTCCAGGCCTGGCCACCCGGGGAGGGGGTTGGTGTCCTGGACGCTGCGCGGCCCTTGGGCACAGGGCTGGGCGGGCATCTGTGAGACCGAGCAGGTGTGGGCTCAGTTCCCTGCTGCCCTCATCCGGGCTGTGCAGCCTGGGCCCCGACTTAACCTCTCGGAGTCCTGTACAGGGGGGCTGGGCCCTCCTCCTGTCTGGGCCACACCACGTGAGGTGTCCCCAGGGGCGGGGTGGCTCTGGGCAGGCGGGGCGGACCAGCCAGAGTTGCTCGGGGCCAGGGAGGGGCAGGGACGGGAAAACCTGCAGCTGCAGGTAGGCGGAGGCTCCCGGGCATCACCGGGGCCCCTCCCCAGGTGCGTGGGGACCCTGCCTACTCCCGGCTGTGCCCTTCCCGTGACCTGGGAGCCACCCCAGCCGGGGAGGGAAGGCCAGAGGGGTCCGAGGGCAGTGGTTTGGGCAGGGCGGGGTGGCCAGGGCAGGCCCCCTGCTCTGGGGCCCCGCGGCTGCTGTGCTCGCTGCCCAGGCTCTCGTGCAGTGGACGGCTCGGGTCGGCTTCTGGAGCCTGGTGCTGGGAGCCAGACAAGGCGGGCATAAACGGGTAATGAACCAGTGATACACACATTTCTGTAGGGTGGTTTTTCGCTCCCCACCGTTGACTATAAACAGGCTCAAAGCGGTCGTGTGCAGGGGCACGCTGGTGGCTTGCCATCAGCCACGGCGGGACAGTGGCAAACGCTATGGTGGGGCCTTTCCCCTGAGCGCCGGTTGAGTTCCAGGAGCCGCCCGGAGCCCCACCTCTCAACCTGGGCCAGGCCTCGTCCCCGCAGGGCTGCCTCGGGGGTCCACCTGACCACCCTCTTTCCCCAGACGGAAAATCTCAGCTGTCCAAGCAGGCAGCGACTTCTGGGCGTGTCTCAGATCAGAGGCTGGAAAGGTGACCTTGCTCCTGTGTCTCCTCTCCTCGGCCCCTGTCGCCAAGGATTCCCGGGGTGGTGGCTATGGCAGCCGGTCTGGGAACCACGGTGGTCCCTGGAGGAACGTGCATGGCCCCCCGCGTGCCATGAGCGACAGTCTCAGATCCTGAAACCCACCACTGCTCTGTGAACCCCAGGGCCCTTCGCTGGCCCTACTCCAAGGAAGAAATGGCTGCACTGGGTCCTCAAACCCTCAGCTGAGAAAGCCAGTCTATGGGCAGTGGTAACCCGGTTTGGGGCACAGGACCCTGAGCTTGTGAGGGAGGGGTCTTTCCATGCTGGGGTCCTGTGGGGGGCCGTCCCAGTCCCTTCAGCTCCTGTGGCCCACCCCCCTCTGAGGCCATGTGTCTGGGACATTAGGAGAGGGATTGGGGCAGAGCCCAGGATTAAAGTGGGGAGGGGGTTCCTGCTGTGGCAGGATGGACGCCAGCAGCCGTGCGTGTCCCGCTCTGCATGCTCCGTCATCCTCCCACAGGGCAAGCCCTGGGAGAGGCCTCCCGCTCGGGCTCCTGTGCTTGGGGATGTCTGTCTGGGTGCGGGGGCTGGGGGGCGCCCAGCTAGGGTCTCCTGAGGCCCTCCCTCCTCTGCTCTCTCAGGCTCTGCCCCTGTCCTGTGGAGTCAGCGTGCTGTCCTTTGACCCCGGCTCTTAGCACGGAGCTGGCCAGGGGCCAGCTGCACGGTCCCGTGTCTCCCCAGTGCCTTGTTTCGCTGCCACCGTGTTGCCGGACCACGCGCATGTGCGAGCAGTTTCTAGTCCGCCGTCCTCATGCCTACTTTGGATAATGTCTTACCTGTCTTCAGTTGGTTGCTCTTCATGCTCTCTGCCAATCCTTTGCCAGAATCCTCTCTGCGGAGCTTGGGAGGCGAGCGCTCCTTCTCAGTGGTGACTCCAAGGAGCAGGCCTCTGCTCCAGACCTCCTGACGTCGGCCCCTCCGGAGCGGTCTCGTGGCTGGCCAGGAAGCCCTCGGCTTGCACTTTCTTCCCCCAACGACTGCCCTGGTGTCCTGGGGCCTGCTGTGGCCAAGTGCTGCAGGCCATCCTTGGCGTCTCCTGGCACGGCCCCGGCCCTGCCACCTCCCGCGTCCGCATCTTCCCCTCCTTCTGGGGACACTGTCCTTATAAACAGGGGACATTTGGACACAGACACACACAGGAAGAATGCCTTGTGAGGATGAAAGCCTAGATTCAAGGCCATGCGTCTATAAGCAGGGAAGGCCCAGGATGCTGGCAAACCCCCAGAAGCCAGGAGAGGCTCTCGGAGGCTCCCCCCACAGCCTCCCAAGGATTCAGCCCTACCGACACCTTGACCTCGGACCTCTGCCTCCGGACTGCTACTCAAACACTGGAACCGCATCCCCGGAAAACTGGCGTGGTCACTGCTTGGGAAATGCTCTATGAAATGCTGAGCCCGGGTAGTGATACGCATGCTGAATTGTTAGAGGCGATCTGTACTGATATGTTCAGCCTAAGTGGGTATGTGGCCGGAAATAAGGGGGACTGATGGGTAGAGAGAGGGATGGACAAATGGACAGAGGCGGGATATAGCAAGTGTAAAAACTGGTGACGGTTTGGGTGGAGGGCATATGGGTGTTCACGGAATAATTCCACTCTTCTGCATGGTACAAGTTTTTCGTGATAAAACATTGAAAACACTAGATGTTTAACTAGACATTTCACATTTTTTTTTTTTTAAATAAGCTCCATGCCCAATGTGGGGCTCAAACTTACGACCCCCAGATCAAGAGTCCCATGCTCTACCGACCGAGGCAGCCAGGAGCCCTCACGTGTCTTTGAATAACCAAGTAAAATGACAAGTATCTGAGGATAGGGGCTCTTTTTCTCAGTCAGTGCTGCAGCGCCCGTGGGATACACCTCCGGGGCTGGAGTGGGCATGAGGCAGGTCCCTGGGGCAGACAGAGGGAGGCATGCTTTTCTGTCCTGTACTCTTCCAAAAGTCTTCCTCCTGTCCCATGGCCTCAATGGCTGGAGCTCCAGCAGCCATCTTGGACCACGAGGTGGCTTTGGGGATGGAGGCCATACATTGAGGATGGGGAGACCAAATGGCATGAGTCTGGGTCCCGGAGGCCATTGTGGGGCTGCCAAGCCACCCCGAATTAGTCACCTTCAGACTTTTTTACTGGTGAGAGAAGTAAGTTTTTATCTTGTTTATGCCTCTTTGGTTGTGATGGGTCTAGTCTATGTAGCCAAACCAAACCGTAATGGATATGTTATTATTAATATTCATCACAACCTTGACTGCTCTTCCGAGGAGGGACAAACTGAGGCTCAGAAAGGCATGTGCTCAAGGTCACACAGCTCGAGGGGGCAGATAAGCCCACGTCTGTGTGATTCAGAGTCTCGGCCCGGCATCACGTGGACCTCAGGGCTTGGCTGACCGGCTGCATGTGGGGGTGGGGGAAGCAGCCCGGGACAGGCAGTCTGCGGGGAGGGCCCAGGGGCTGAGCGAGGGCCACAGGTCAGCCCTCCTTCCTGGAGCCACGAGGTGCCCACGAGCCACCTCCTGGTGCTTCAGAAAGAGTGAGGTGCCCACTTTGCAGGCCCAGGTGGGGATGCTGGGAGGAGAGCAAACCATTCCCGTCCAGCAGCAAGGGCACCCTAGTCCCTGAGCTCCTGAGACTCAGTCCCCATCAGCGAAGAGAGAAGGGTGCTGGTGCTTTCTCCTGAATGCAGAGAGGTTGTCACCCACGGCCACCTTCATGGAAGGCAGGCGGGTGCGGACTCCCAACGTGCCCCTCCTCCTTGCCACCTTCCCACAGCTTCCGCGTGGCTTGGCAGGCTGGCCCCAGCAGCTGGGTGCCGGTGACACCCTGCGGGTGAGGACCCACGCTGCTGGCGTGGGAGCAGGGGCTCCCCTGTGGGCTCCTGCAGCTCAGGAGGGCTGCTTTGCTATTTCTGGAATGCTGCGTGGAGGGAGGGCTGTTGGAGGCTAGGGGCTCTTCCTCGTGGCAAAATCATCGCCGGGGGGCTTTCTTACAGGTGACGGAGGATGTGCACTCAGCAGCACCTGCTCTGTGCCCGTCACTGTATTTGCCTCGTCATTCTGAAGGCAAACCCATGCCACCTACCCGCGCTTCTGTGTGCACGTGGGCTCGGCTGCACGTGCGGGCTCTGGGTCTTGCCTCGGAGAGCCTCCTTCTCTTCCTAGTCCTTCGAAACCATGGCGGCACACCAGGGGCACTGTCGTCACCGTGTGAAGTCTCCAGCTTTCTGGGACCGTTCGTTCCTTCCTGTGCATCGAGAGCTTGCTGTGCACCAGGCGGGACCTGGGCTCCCAGGAGGCGGACCGTGGGACAGCCGAGAGGGACGTGTGGGAAGGGCTGAGAGCACATGGAGAAGAACCCTGGTTAGGGGGCAGCCACAGACCCCCTTCCAGCTTCCCAGGGGCCCAGCAGAAATGAACACGGTCAGCGCTGCCAACCGCCACATGGAGATGGAGTCCCTCGCACGCCACGGGTCAGAGCCGGTATGGTGAAAATCCATTTCCTTGCCTCCGAGATTTAAAAGCCGAAGCCCCCCCTCTTTTGAGTTAACTTCCCGAACCAGCTCATCCGAGGTCCCTGTTTCCCAAGGTGGCAGTGGAGGGGCCGGGCCTTGGCAGCAGGTGCTCCGGAGGTGTGAGCGCTTCTCTCCTCGGAGGTCCACCCAGCCCCCATCCGGCGCCCCGGCCACCCTCCTGGTGGTCTTCCTGACGGTTCCCAGAGGCCCCTGCAGCTGGGGTTGGGCCGTCCAGGCGCGGTTTGGGGCAGAAGGGGAGGCAGAGGACACGCAGTGCCCACAGGGGTTGGCCTTTCCAGTGGCGGCTGCCTCGGCCCCTTGCAGCTCCGTGGGGGTCCAGAGCGGGGCCGGTGCTCCCACCTTCGCAGGAGCAGGATCGGGGAGCACAGGAGGGCTGAAGAAGCCAGGGGAGGCTGGTCGGGGGGGTACTGGGGACCCACCAGGGATTTCCAGCAGATTGTTTACAGAAAAAGCATTATTTTATTTTATTTTACACCTAAAAAAATAAACTTTATTTTTTAGAACAATTTTAGATTTACATAAAAACCAGGAAGATAGTGCCGAGATTTGCCATATGCCAGTTTCCCTATTATTGCCTTTTGTTAGGACAGTATATTTCTCACAATTGAGGACCAATATTGATGCATTATTATTATTATTTATAAAGATTTTATTTATTTATTTGACAGAGAGAGACACAGCGAGAGAGGGAACACAAGCAGGGGGAGTGGGAGAGGGAGAAGCAGGCTTCCCGCTGAGCAGGGAGCCCGATGTGGGGCTCGATCCCAGGACCCCGGGATCACGACCCGAGCCGAAGGCAGACGTTTAATGACTGAGCCACCCAGGCGCCCCTTGATGCATTATTATTAACAGAAGCCCATAGTTTTTATAGATTTCCTTTGTTTTTTCCTGTTGTCCTTTCTGCCCAGGACCCCATCCAGGACACACACCTCTAGCCGCTGCTCCTCAAGCTCCTCCCAGCCGTGAAACTGGATTGTTTTCATTTTGACAAGACCCTTGGGCCACAGGTGCTGCAAGTGTTGGTGGCCCTGGGGGCTTGTGTTCTGGGTTTGCAGCTCCCGGCGCTCCTGAGGAACCCAGCTATTCCTCTGTTTGCCTCTTTTGCATGTGGTTTGCATGTTGGGGTTTGCACATTGTTTGCATGTTGTGGTTTGCATGTCCCCTCCCCAGGGCTGATAGAGCCTCAAAGCAGGAACTGGTAGGGTCCCCTGGGAGCAGGTGAAAGGAGAATTCTGTGGGTTGCTTTTTAATACTGTTTTGACTTTTTTTTTTTTAAAAGATTTTATTTATTTATTTGAGAGAGAGAGAATGAGAGAGAGCACATGAGACAGGGGGAGGGTCAGAGGGAGAAGCAGACTCCCCGCCGAGCAGGAAGCCCGATGCGGGACTCGATCCTGGGACTCTAGGATCATGACCTGAGCCGAAGGCAGTCGCTTAACCAACTGAGCCACCCAGGCTCCCACTGTTTTGACTTTTGAACTATGTGTATGATTCTCATATTCAGAAAATAAAATTAAATCGGCAAGGGTGAAAAACTCTAAAATGGAATCCAACAGCACCAGTGAACCTCAATACTTTGATGGCACAACAGGGCGGAAGGTGTTCGTGGCTTTTCTGGGCACGGTTCTCTAAGTGCGGAGTGACCTCGGGCCTCCCTTTGCGGGCTGGTTGCTGCTGAAGGTTGCAGGGCTGAGTGACGAGTGAGGAACCACCCTGTGTGTATTCGGGGTTGACGGCAGGAGAAGCCAGCGCGTGTCCTTGGGGACCAGGGCCCTCTCCATGGGTGGTGGGAGAGCAGCCCTGAGCACAGAGCAGGGGAGGAGAAGAACAGGGGGGCTTGTGTCTGAACACGAAGCTGCAGAAGAACTCACCATCCCCAGGAAGCAATCCATTCTGTGGCTCCGAGCCCGGAAAGGAGCCGGGAGCATTGCAGCCCAAGAGCGTGGAGCTCGCTGCCCAGTCCGAAGCCGAGCCCTACGGGCCAGGCCAGGGCACCCAGGGAATGCTCGCGCCAGGCCCGGGTCAGGAGGGGCCCGCAGCATCCGGGGGGCAGGGCAGTGCAGGAAGCCCCAGAGACGGATGGGCATGCGTCCCCCGACACGAGCAGCCGGCCACGGGGCTCCCAGTGGCCAGATCTGGGAAATACTGTGATGAACATTGGAAGAAAAGTGTGCATGAACGCAGAGATTCCACCAGGAGGGACAACCCACCCCCTCTCCTCCACCTGCCGCTCCCACGGCCCGGCTGATGCCCGCTCAGCGCCTTCATCCCGAAACGGGGGCGTGAACACTCACCGTGCCGTCTGTTCCCCAGTCTGGAAAGCCAGGTGACAAATGGCGGTGTTTATGGTTACAACGTGGGGTTCCTCATCCTCAGCAAACTTGACCCACTGAATTCACACTGTGTGTGGAGCTTGAAGCCTGGTGCTCAAGGTGGGGAGGTGGGGATCGGTGCGGCGTCCATGCCTCCCGAGGGACCGGGTCTCACATTGCGGGGAAGTGGAAACCCCGAGGAAGAACAGGAGGCTCTGCCGTTAGCTTCGGCCACAGGGAGCCCCTCAAAACTAGCAGCTTGAACCACCAACAATCTCATCCTGCTTGGAGCCTGGACTGAGTGGGCGGCCTCTGTGGTCAGAGGTGGCCTGCTGGTCTCTGCGGCTGGCTGCTGGCCCGGCTGGAGCTGAGGGCTCCGCATAGCCTCCCTCCCACAGCTGTGCTGGGCTGCACGTCACCAGCGGGATGGGGCTGGTCTGGCCGGTGTCCCCCATGGGGAGGGGGAGGTGCGGCTCGGCTTCGAGGGCCTCCCAGGCACTGCTGCTGCTGGCTGAAGGGGCCGCATGGCCTAGCTTCCTGCAGGGGTCCAGGAAGAGACTCTGCGTCCTGATGGAGGAGGGCCGAGTGGCAGAGGCGCTGCCTGCAGAATGGGAGGCCTTGGGGCCCCTGTTGGCTCCGTGCACACGTCAGTGAAGTGTCCACGGGCCACTCAGCTCAGGGCTCGGGGCACAGGTGGGCACAGGTGGGACATCTGCTCTTGGAAGGTTCGTTTTGTGGGGAGACAGTCAATACACAGACACACATGGTGGGGCGTGGGATGCCTCGTGGACCTGAACCACAGCCCGGGGTCCAGTTGCAATCCATCGACATGTGCATGCTGGGGCCAGCAGGGACATCGAGGCAGGCCCATCCCAGGAGTGCCCTTCTGATGGCCAGCTCTGACTTGAGGACTCCGTAACAGGCTTCTGGACCTTCTTGGACTACACGGGGCCTGGGTTGCTTCCGGCCAAGCCCAGCCTTGGCATGAGGTCACACCCCTGTGTCACCAATAACGCCCCTTCCCCATCATGTCTCGTGGGCATTTCCTTCAATAAAGTCCATGCACTTTTCATCCTGTTGTGGTGTCTGCTTCTCAGAGACCCTGGACTAACAACAACTTCTGCAGGAGAAAGCCCGGCGGGGAATGAGATGGGGCAGTGTGCCCTCCCCTCAACCCCCACTGCTCTTCCCGGCCTGGTGCTTGGAACATGGCACCTGCGAGCCCCATATCCCTTCACGTGCTCATTTCCATGCCGGGGTGTGTGGGCCCACTAGGGAAGTGCTGGTGCCCTGAGGGGTGCTGGGGTATGGGAGGGGGCTGGCACAGAATCTTCTGGTCTCCAGGCCGCTGTGAGCTGAGAGCAGGAGTAGGGACCACTCCGGTGCCTCCAGTGGGGACAGATTTAATGCAGGGAGTGAGAGGCTTACACACTTGGGAGAGTGGCGAGTGGGGATCCAGGAGTGCACCCGGGTCTCTGAGCCTGCTCTGCTCACTTCTGGGGGTGCAGCCAGCAGATCTACCCCAGCCGCCAGGATCCTTAGCACCAGCCCCTGGGGGCTTTACTACACTCCCCTGAAACTGCATCTCCAATTGCATCATGAAGATCGTAGGCAGGTAGGCCTTACTGGATGGGGATCCACATCTCGGCCTGTTTGAGTGGCACGTGAACCCCACTCACTGGGGAGCTGGACCCTGTGGCCAGAGGCCCCACCTCGCAGCTGATGGCACCTTATAGCTTACAAAGCCCTGTCCCGGCCACGGCCTGGGTGACTGGCCCATTGCCCGCCAGGAGAAGAGACCCTGGTGTGGATGTCAGGGCAGGGACCTGGGGCTCAGAGAGGGACAGCGGCTCCCCCAAGGTGTGTTTGGGCTCCTTCCCGTCCCGGAAGCCGTGTGTGTCCCTTCCCACTCACATCCCACCCCAGCAGTTCCTGGCGTCCAGCTCGCCCGTGGGAAGAGTGCTGCCCCAGGAGGCGGCGAGGAGGAGGGGCTGCCAGACCGCGGGCCATCCCCAGGCACCCCCGGCCTCCCCAGGCACCCCTGGCTTCCCAGCTCTGCCCCGGCAGAGGCCTGATTCACAGCCTGGCAGGAATTGGCCCGTTGCAGCTGGGGACTGCCTGTTAACAGCTGTGTGCTGGGCTTCTGAATGCTCGGGGCAGGGAAGCACCTGCCCTTGGGGAACCTTGTCTTTGAGGACAGAGTCACTTCCTGCCTTGTAGGAAAATGCCAGGGTCGGGGCTGTTCTTCCCCAACCAAAGAGGGACAAGTGGGGAACATGGCAAGGGTTAGCCAAGCCCTGGTGGTTGGGCTGGGAAGGAGGAGCCAGAGGAGGAGGGGGAGAAGAAGAAGGGGGTATGGGGAGAGGGTGAGGAGCTAGGAGGGGAGGGGGAGGAGGGGGGATTGACCTCCAGTCTCAGCTCTGCCGTGTCCTGGCTGTGGGACCCCGGCCAGGCCCCGGAGACCCCATCTCCCCGTCTGTACCCCAAGCCTCCCTCCCTTGTTGCCTCATGCGGGGCCCGCGGTGGGCACCCTCTATCTCTGAGGCCCGGACAGGGCTGGGAGGAGGGCTCAGGTGCAGGCTGGCTCACTCCTCCATTTGGGCAGCAGCTCCGGTGACGACCTCCTGATTTACAGCCGAAAGGGCAGACCAGGTGCCCAAGTGTGTAAGCCGCAGGGGTCTCCGAGTCTCCCCGGCAGGGCCAGACCTGGTGCCTTCAGAACAGCTCTCTGGACGGGCTGCAGGGTCAGCATGTGCCTGTCTACGGTGGGATCTGTACCTTGGCTCCCCAGCCCACCCCCTGCAGCCCTGCATTCCCCAGGGCCCTCCCCAGGCAGGTGGGTGGCTGTGGGGCTCCCTGGCTGGCAGCTGGGAATCCTGAGGCCGGAGTGGGGAGGGGTCCCCCACAGTTACCGGGAGACACCCTAGGCCTTTCCCAGTCCTGCGGGCAGCCGAGGCCCCGGGCTGGGTGGCTAGTCTGGAGGCAGACCCCATCCTTCATGAGTCCTGCTCTGGGTGCCAGGAGGCAGACCCGTGGGTGCAGGGTCTAGTCACCACCCCCTTCCCTGGTCCTGAGGCCCGGAAGTGGCGATGCAACCATCCCTGCAGTCTCCCCCAGCTGCCTGCTCCCTAAGTGGGGCCTTCATGGAGAGCCCGCCGTGCCCGGTGTGGCCAAGCAGCCCCTGAGACGCGGGCCTGTGGGAGCTCAGCCAGGAAGGCCGGGCGGCCGCTGGATGGGAGCCCAGAGAAGCCTCTGGAACCCCGGGGCTTTGTCCCCTGGACTCTCCAACCTGCCTTCCAGGTGGTCGACTGGCTTTAACTTGTACACTTGCAGGGATGGGGAGCTCACTACCTCATGGTGAGCTCTGCTGGGGTCCTAGAGGCACCCAAGCGGGACACGCCTCTCTCCCCTGTGGACACGTGGTCCTGGGAGCCGGGCAGAGGGAGGTCCTGGCCAAGAGAAGCTGGGTTGGAGGCTTGGCCTTGACGAGGGCCCCCTCCCGTGGCTCCATTCGGTCACCGGGGAGTCCCCTCAGCTGTGCCCGTGGTGGGGAGAGGCCAGAGCCCCCTCTGGGGCTGTCAGACCCAAAAGGGGGGACCACCAGCAGCTCCCCCTGCCCAGCTTGTGGGCAGAGAGACAGAGAGCGAGAGGCAGAGGCCGGGAGAGGAGGTCTCCACGCGGCCTCGGGCGGCAGCAGGGGGATCAGGCAGTGACAAGCAGTTGCCCGGCCTGCTTGGTCCATCGTGCCCTGGGAGCCCCTCCTGCTCCGAGTGTGACCGTGAGCTCATGCCTTTGCCAGCAAGGCCCACTCATCTACCCATCCATCCATCCATCTGCCCGTCCATCCATCCATTCATCCACCCACCCACCCATTCATCCACCCATCTATGCATCTATCCATCCATCATCCATCCATCATCTATCCATCCATCCACAGCCCCTCCTCGACTTCACCGACCCCTCTGGCCTGACGCCTTTGCGCAGGCTGCTTCCTGGGATTGCGCGCTTCCCCCAGCTCTTTTCTTGGCTGGCACCTCCTCCAGGATGCCCTCCCTGACCACACAGCTAAGGTGGCCCTACCCCTGGACAAGCCAGCAGCTGCCTAATACTCTGATTCCACTGGAATGATCCAGAATCCTGGGATCCAGTGAGAGTGTTAGATTCATGGAAACTCAGAGCTGGGAGGCACCTTAGAGAATTTGTCGTCCCTTGGACTCTTTAATCTGCCTGCCAGGGGGTTGACTGGCTTCAGCTTGTACACTTTCAGCGACGGGGAGCTCACCACCTCATGGGCCAGTGGGCTCCAGGGGCCAGCTACTCCGTCAAGAGTCTCTTTTCTTCTGGCTCCCCCAGAGGCCCCTGCTGTGATCGCTGGTCCCACAGGACAGTCTGCCCTCTTGCCTGCTTATTATCATTATCTGCCTCCCTTTTGTGTCCCCTGGGTCCCCAACTCCCCCGAGACAGGAGGCTGTGCAGGCGAGACCGCCTCGAGGGACCCACATCAGTCTATTTGTGGCAGGACAGGGTAGTCGGCTCTTGGGAAATGTCAGGCGATAAGTCAGAGCTGGCCAGCGGTGAGGCCCAGGGACTCTCTGTCACTTGGGGAGTCTCCTCCTTAATCAGTGGAGGAGAAAAACAAGCAGCAAAGGGTTTTCCATGGCAACCACCAGCAGAGCAGAATGTTCTCTCCCTGCCTGAGCTTGTCCCAAGAGGACGGGCTGGCAGAAGCTGCTGACCTTGGCCCCACATGGCGAGGGCCATTGAGAATTAAGTGTAGAAACGTTTTATTGGTATTGGCTCCATGTATTGATATTTTTGCGTGAAGGAATCTGGGCATCTTTGCTATTATAAGCATTTGTGATGTTTAAGAGGATTTGGGCTATCAGATAAACAAGTCAACCTTTAAATATAAGATATATATTTGATTACTTGATTTAGACTTAGGATTTTAAGTTGAAGTCCCATAAAGTTTATAGACAGTTTTGAACACTTTCATTTTAGGATTTTTTTTTATTTATTTGAGAGAAGAAAAAGAGAGAGCACGAGCAGGAGGAAGGGCAGAGGGCAGAAGCAGACTCCCTGCTCAGTGGGGAGCCAGACATGGGTCTCAATCCTAGGACTCTGAGATCATAACCTGAGCCAAAATTAGACGCTTAACCAACTGAGCCACCCAGGCACCCCGACTGTGTTGAACACTTAAATGAATCTGTGGCTCATCCTATAAAGATAAGGAAGTTATCTTTTAGATTTATAAAAATTGCAAACTTAACTTGGGAAAGTTTATCAGATAAAATACATGAAGTGTGTTAATATAATTAAAATTTTGAAGGTGTTTTATTAAATAAATTTGAAAGTGGGGCCTAATGTTAATCAAAGAACACTTTGGGACACCTTCTGCTCAGGTCATGATCCCAGGGTCCTGGGATCGAGTCCCGCATCGGGCTCCTTGCTCAGTGGGGAGCCTGCTTTTCCCTCTGCCTGCCGCTTCCCCTGCTTGTGCTCTCTCTCTCTGATACATAAATAAATAAAATCTTAAAAAAAAACAATCCCCCTCAAAAAACAAAGAATCTTTTAAAAATAATTTTAAAATTTCTTAGACTTTAAGTATAATGATAAGATTCATAGATTGAACTAATAGCTCAAGGGAGAACACTTAGGGTTTTGGTTTTGTAACACTAATACATTAAAATTTAAATTTTTCCTAAATTTAATTTTTAAAAAACTAATTTCTAAGTAGTATTTTCTAAGTATAAAAGCCAGCTTGAGGACATAAAAACAATCTCACATCAACACCATGCACCCACTCATTTGTCCACCCACTCATTCACTTACTTACATACCCTTCATCCTCCCTTCTGGTTATCTTCTTGTCCAATTATTCTTAAATCTTCTCATCTACCCATCCACTTATTCAACCTCCATCTATCTGTCTGTCTGACGTCTTCCCACCCACCCACCCATCCATTCAGTCATCCATCCATCCATTCATCCATCCATCCAGCCAACCTTCTACTCACCCATCCACCCACTTAGCCATTCACCCATCCACAATCCGTCTACCCACCCATCTGCTCATCTAGTCATCCATCCATCCATCCATTCATCTGCTCATCCATCCATCCGCCCATCCATCCAACCTTCCACTCATCCATCCACGCACTTACCCATCCACCCATCAAAAACCCATCTAACCACCCATCCACTCATCTACCCGTCCATCCATCCATTTGCCCATCCATCCATCCATTCATCCACCCACCCACCCATTCATCCACCCATCTATGCATCTATCCATCCATCATCCATTCATCCATCCATCCATCCATCCATCCATCCAATAACTACTAAAGGAACTAGTAGGTAGCAGACTCTAGAAAGAATATCTGCAACTAAAAGGGAGTCCCTCTGCCGGAGATTGTCTGTCCTGGCACATGTGTACATTTATGGGATGGGTTGTCTGTGGGCATGACGGACACAATGTGAAACCACCGCCATCGTGGGAGCTAAGAGGGCAGGAACACGGTGACCGGAAATGAAGAGGGGCAGCTTTCCCTAGTGGACGGACCCTGTGGCAGCAGGGGACCCCTGGCAAGCTTGGGGCCATCCTCAAATGCCCCTGCATGACCACGCCCTTTGCCCACCCCCAGCGCCCAGCAGGAGCCAGGTCTGGGTTGTAGGGACTGCTCAGGGACACTGCGCTGGCCTGGGAACACAGGCTGGGCAGCACAGTCCCCGCAACCTCCCCTGGAACTCACCACACAGACAGCCTGTGGAGAAGGAGCCTGAGCTGGCCCCTGTGTGCAGGACGTTGGCCTGTTTGCTCTGTCTGGTGATGCAATGGGAACTTGTGTCTCGTCCCAGCGAGCAGCCCTCCTCCCGGACTGCCTGGGTCCCGGGGGTGCTGTGAACTCTGCCTGCTCCATGTTTGCCTGAGATCCTCCGGCCAGCCCGCCCCTTCCTGAGGGACACCAGGCGTTGTGGCATCGGGAGCTCCAGCGGCCCCTGTCCACCGCACTCCCATGGGCCCGCAGCTGGTCAAGTGCTTGGAGTCACGTGGCCCCTCTGTCCACCTTCAGGACACTTGCTTAGGACGGTCCCCAGGATGGCCCCCCGCTCACTGGAGCCTGTACGTGGTAAGTGCTTAGGGGGTGTGCGCAGAGTCAGTGCCCTGACTGCAGGGAAAAAACATCGCTTAAGCTCCTCCTGGGTGCCAGGCTCCAGCTTGTGTGGTTGGTAGGGTCCACGGAGGTGAGTTTTCGTGGGGGGGGGGAGGAGGGAGGGAAGGATGGCGCGGGTGGGGAGGAGGGAAGGGAAGTGCATCGTAGACACACAAGCTGTGACCACCGGTGACACCACCGGCCCTGACCACTCCCTAGAAGCCCCCCACCCCCAGCCTTGGAACCACGAACCTGACTTTTGTGATCATCATTCCCCACATTTTAGTTACCGTTTCGCCACCCAAACGCATGCCAGGTACTCTTTGTTGTCTGCTTGGGAATTTGGAATACACGGACTCACCCTGGGGACTCCTCGGCTGGCTGGGCTGCGAGTGGACCTGCGCCGCCGAGCTCATCCGTGCTAGGCTCTCGTGCTGATCCGTGGCGCGCGCCCCACGCTTGGAAACAGCGCTGCCACTCACACACAACAAATCCTCTTCTGGTGGCACACGGGGCGCAAACGCTTACTTACCGAAATCGCCCCGAGGGGGATCTGCTGTGTCCACGCTGTGCACCCCTGCCAGGCTCCTGATCTTCCGCAGTGCAGGCAGCCTGCGGAAGGGACAGGACGCCTCCCCGTCCTCACAAACACTTGGCTTTGTCAGATTGTCACGGTTTTTGAGAGCCTAGTGACTGCTATTTGCATTTCCTTAGGTGCTAATGAGATCTGCAGCTTTGCTTGTGTTCCTTTCCCCTGTGAATTTCCTTTTCTGTGAAGCACGTGTTCAAGTCTTTTGTCCATTAAAAAAGAATTGTTTTGATCTTTTCCTCAGTGAGTAGTTAAGAGTTCCTCGTGTAGGGGCGCCTGGGTGGCTCAGTCGTTAAGCGTCTGCCTTCTGCCTTCGGCTCAGGTCATGATCTCAGGGTCCTGGGATCGAGCCCCGCATCGGGCTCCCTGCTCCGCGGGAAGCCTGCTTCTCCCTCTGCCACTCCCCCTGCTTGTGTTCCCTCTCTCGCTGTGTCTCTCTCTGTCAAATAAATAAAATCTTAAACAACAACAAAAAAAGAGTTCCTCGTGTATTTCCTAAGTGGGCCGCTGCTGGACATCTGCGCTTCAAACATCTCCCCGTTGTGCGTTATCTTTCCATTTTCTGTGTGCCGTTTGGTGAACGGAAAGGAGTATGAAATTTTCATGCAGCCCAATTAATTCCTCTTTCTCTTTACAGTTCGTGCCGTTTGTGTCTTGCTTAAGAAGTTTCTCCCAACCCTGAAGTCATGTGGTTCCCCCTCCCCCACGTATGCCTTTCCAGACGAGCCGTGGATTTATCATTCATAGTGAAGTCTTTAATCCACCTGACATTGATTTCTGTAGACAGTGTGAAGCCAGAGTCTGAGTAATATTTTTTCCTCTGTGGATAATCAGGTCTCCAAACTGACTGTAAGGAGAAAAAAACCTGTCCCGTCTCCTATGATCTCCTGTCTTCTCCCACCAGCAGCACCCATTCCTCACCATCTCCAGGAAATCCTGGGATCTGTAGGCAGGCCCTTCTACCTGGTCATTCCTCAAGAGTATCTTGGCTCTTCTTGGTGCTTCGTGATTCCGCGGAGATTTGGGAGTCAGGTCGTCAAATTTTATATGCACACGCATGCACGTGGCCATTATGGAGGTAGTTTAAGTACTAGTGTGGATGCAACAGGATCCGTGCCCTTCCAGGAGGGGACACCAGGGAGCTCTCCCTGCCTCTCTGCAGGGCGGGCACACGGCGGGAGGATGGCATCTCCAGCTCTCTCCAGAACCCAGCTGCCTTCACCCCGATCTCAGACTTCTGGTCTCCAGACCGGCGAGAAACACAGGTCTGCTGTTCCAAGCCCCCAGCCCGTGGTGTGTCGTCTGGGCAGCCCGAGCCACCGACTGGGACAGTGGCACGCGGCTCTGGGAATTGGGACAAGCAAGCTCTCTGTACATGCAGAGTTGTCAGCCCCCGATTCCGGCAAATCTCTCTTCCATGGCCATGATGCTGCCTTTCCAGGATGTCGTGCAAATGGGATCATGTGCCGTGTGGTCTGTGCAGTCTGGCTTCCTGCGTGTTTGAGGTTTGTCACACTATTTCCTCCGTGTTCCAGAGCAGAAGCCCCACAGGGAACTAGGAGGTGTTGAGAGGTGTCTAGGGAATGGCCTCCTGCCTTAGATCACGGGAGGACCTCGCTCAACGTGGCCCAGAGCGCACTGAGCTGGGGAGCTGCATGCTCACGACGGCCGCTCCGTGCCCGGCTCAGACAGGGATGCCGATGAGGATGAGGATGACAGCGGTGTGGTGCAGCCCGGCCCCAAACGGCCTGGTTGTCACCCTCTCCACTTCCCACAACAACTTAGGCAGTGGACCAATTACTGCAGCCACTTTGTAAACGTGGACGTGGTCAAGCGGTCTGCCCGCAGTCCCATGGGCTGTGGTGAGGTCTGGATTTGAACCTGGCTCCTTATGGGCCTGGCCCCTGAGGTGCTCTGGCCTCTGCACCTCTGGCCCCCGCCTCGGTTTCAGCTCGGGGCGGGGGAATGGGGGGACCTGCCCTGCCAGCACCAGGTGTCCCCAGACGGGTGTCCCAGCTCGGAAACAAGGGGCGGCGAGTTTTCTGTGAGTTCAGGACAGCAAAGCCGTCACCTCCACCTGGCTAGACCTCCTGTCTTTGGAGACCACCCGGGTCTCAATACCACGGGGAAGGCTGCTGCTGAGTGAGCCTCATCTCCTGGCCACATGTGGGGGGAGAGGGGGCCAAATTTGAGACATGGCAGAGACATGAGTCTGAGGTAAGCTGCCCAGAAAATGCAGGGCCCCTTGGAAAGAAAGGACCTTCAGTCCCTAGGACGTCTTGGGTCCCCTCCACTGGGCAGAAAGGCAGACCCAGCCTCCCGTGTTCCTCAGAAGGGCAGCTTCTGAGGATGGTGTGACTGGCCAGCCCAGGGATGAGCTGAGAGATGCCAGTGTGTGAAATGGAATTAGAGAGAAAGCCCAAGCACGTCCTCAGGTAAAGTGTGCAGGCTTCCTGGTGTACCAGCCCATCTGGGTACAGAGTCATTCCTTGGTGCACCTGCGCTCCCAGGGGCAGACCCTCAGGTGCACCTGCGCTCCCAGGGGCAGACCCTCCGGTGCACCTGTGCTTCCAAGAGCAGACTCTGGTGCACCTGCGCTCCCAGAAGCAAACTTCATGGTGCACCAGACTTCTAGGTGTAGACTCCCAGGTGAATTTCCAGGCAGATAGACCAAGGCTGCATTCCGCGGGTGTTTTGCTTTTGCTGACCTTTGGCCCTGAGCAATGTCTTAGGTCGGAGGCTTTCCCAGGTGGACAGGGAGGGGACAAACCTGGAAGTGAGGTAATCAGAGAGGAGCCTGCAAGAATTTGACATTGAAGAGGAAAAGGAACAATGTCTCCTGCCAGAAACTATTCCCATTCTAAAGCCAGCTGAGCAGCCCAGAAAACCTTAGAGGAGTCCTGAGCAGCAAGCAGCGCCAGGGAGGGGTCCCCGCCCTCCACCCCTCTGCCCTCCCTCTGTTTGGAGGTGGGCTCTGTTCTGAGAGTGACTTGTTGATCTCTCCTGATGCGTGCCACATGCAGAGTATTCTGGATATCTGTTAACCTTCTCTTGTCAACTCCAGTTGACGGTTTCCACCTGCAAATGGTGGTTTTTAGCTTGAGCTTGGTCCATGTCTGTTCGGTGCAATTTCTAGTACACTTAAGTTGGAAGTTTCTGCTCTATTTTGTGCTATTTGTCCACTGGTTCTGTGTATATTTTTTTCTCCTTGCCTTCTTTAGTTTATTTCCCCTAGCTTATATTTGAGAATTTTCAAGCCAACAGGAAAGTCAAAGGAATAAGACCATGAGTACCTGAATGCCTTCCAGTTAGATTCACCAACTGTCCATATTTTGCCATCTACATACATGTATGTCCACGTATACACATATGCAAATAACCACACATGTATGTATAGACATGTGTATGTATGTGCCCAGTCGCTTTCTAAAGGGCATTCCACAAATTTCCACACCCACTGGTGGTGTATAAGCATTCTGGGCATTGCACATCCTTGCCAGCTCTTGATATTATCTTAGTTTTGAACTTTCGCCAGACTGGTGGGTATGAAGTCGTATCTTGTTGTGGTTTTCATTTGCCTTTCCCTAGCGATGCATGAGGGTGAGCATCTGGCTCCCTCTTCCGTGGAGAGTCCATCTACTTGCGTGCTGCCAGCCCTCAGTGCTCCACGGCGTTGGCATGCCTACCTGCAGCTGCCCGTCCCTTTCCTAGTTTTTAGGGTTTACACTCCTGAGTTCTGGGAAGCGAGATAGAGTTTTCAGAATGGGACACCTAATTTATTTACCGATTTAAGGCTGTAGGGAGGTCCTGAAAGACTCCCCTATAGAGTTGCATAGCACTCAAGGACGCTTCCGGTGGCAAGCAAGTGCAAGCAAGTGCAAGCAAGTGAATCCTTTGGCCTTTACAACAGACCAACCGGTAGTGGCAGCTTCAGGTGAGGTGCGCTCCAGCAGTTCCACATGTCACCAAGGATGATCCTTAACCCCTGTGTGCTGCTTCTGCAGGGTTAGCTTATCCTAGAGTTGGCTCCCCCTATATTCTCAAGCTGTTTGCTGACTACTGCTGAGACATCTTCATTCCCTCCTGCCCACTCTGCAGGGACGGGGTCCATCACATTTGGTCCTTGGCTCAATCTCTGAGATCAAAGGATAGAATGATCGGATTAGGGTGAAGTAAGCTTCTTGCAAACCACTTGAATGGAAATGCGAGCTGATGGGCAGGTGGCGTGGATGCTGGGGCTCGAGCAGTAAATACCCACGTGGCAGCCTTGGCCTGGAGTGCTTGGTGACCGCCACGGTGGATGCCGAGCCGCCCCTCCTGCTTCTGGGTATGTGCCTGCGCACCAGATGGCTGAGCCTCCTGGAAATCCGATCCGTGGATAACTGCAGGATTTTTTTTAATTATGAAAATTTTCATAATGGAAGAATAATATGGGAGAATAGCATAATGACCCCTGGACCTCCCCTGCCTGGGCCCAGTAATTACGGCCAGACTGCCCTGCGTGTTCGTCCTCTCCCTTTGTCCTCTGAGCGCTGCCGGACGTTTCAGTGTAGGCTGCAGAAGCTGTGACACATGAGCCCTCATCTTTCCACCTGCTTCTGTTAAAGACGGACGTTCCCTGCAGAACCACAATTCCATTATCCCACCTGAGAAAAGTAACAGTCAATTCTCTTGTCCAGATGACAAGCGTCCAGAGTGTCCCCCAACCTCTTTTGTGGCTATTAGTTTGAACCAAGATCATGCCCCATGTTACTCTTCTGTCTCTTTCGTCCCTTCGATCTAGAGGAGGTCTTTCCCAATTACGTTTCAGGCTCAAGCTGCTCTTGTCTGCTCTTTGCATGGTGTTTACAGACGGACTCCTGGCCGAGTCCTCCCAGGGCCTAAGGGGTGAGGGGCTCTCTGGGGTCTCTCACAAGAACCCCATTCCAGCGGGGGCCCAGATGCCCGCCCTCATCACCCAACCACCTCCCCAAGGCGCCTGACCTAGTGCCACCATCTTTGGGGGTTAGTTTCCACACGTGAACTTTGGAGGAACACAAATATCCAAATTGTAGCACATTATTTACAATGAGAAACGAGAAGCATTTCTTATTTCCTGTCTTACATGCAATGCTTTTATTCTCTTCTGGCTGCTTTTAAGATTTTACTTTTACCTTTGGTTTTCAGCGTAAAGTATCTTGGTGGCGGTGGTGGTGTGCGTGTTCTGCTCGGGGTTTGCCGAACCTCTTGGATCTGTGGGTTGGCATTTTTCATCATATTTGGGAAAACTTTGGGCATTATTTCTTCAAGTCCATGTTTTTTTCCTGCTAATGTCTTTCCCTCCTCTCTTCCCAGAACCCCAGTGACGGGCTCGGTACGTAATGCCCGTGATGGGCCACCTGACTGCGTCTCCCTGTGGAACCGAATCTCTGGTCTTCAGTTCTTTTCTCCGCTTTTCCTTCAGACTGGATGATTTCTGTCTGAAGTTCACTAACGCTTTCTTCTGCGGCCTCCACTGCTGTAGCGCTCCCCGACAAGACTTTCATTCCAGACGTTGTCTGCTGGATCCAGCGCCTCCGATGTTTTCTATTCATGCTTTAACCCGCCCCCCCCCCCCCGCCCCGCCCCGGCCCAGTGTGTCATGTTGTCCTGACTCTTCATGTCCCATCGCCTTGCGTAGCCCGGACACGAGCGACCCTCTTGTGTTGAGTCTGGACTGTTGCACTGAGTCCTTCCTGGAGGGCCAGCGCGGTCCTTCGGACGCTTGGTTTCAGACTTCGCTGGGGGCATGTGGCTGGGGCCTCTCTGCAGGGCCCTGGTGGCTGAGGGGAACTCAGGGTACTCGGCATGGCCTCCCAGCCTGGCTGGTCGGGACGAGAGTGGCTCCTGGCACCGGGTGGCCTCCAGACCCCCCTCTCAGCCCGCACTCCCTTTCCCCAGTCGGATCTGCGCTTATGGTCAGAGGGTCGGGGTGCTGGTGCCCACAGTCGCCCAGCTCCTTGGCGGCATGGCTGGGCTCTGGCTCCCTGGGCCTCAGCCTGTCCCACACCTCGCCTCACTGATGGAGACTCGGCGGGGACAGGGCGGGCAGGCGGCTCCCGGGGAGCCTTGCTCGGGGACCCCTCCTCTCCGCCTCGGCCACGTGCGGCTGGGAACCACGGCTCTGCCGGCCCGTCGCCGGAGCTGAGGGTGGCTCTGGTGTTGGCATGCACGCTGCCACTTGGCCTTTTCTCTTGGCGCCCAGGGTGGTAACGTGCAGCGGGGGCGGGAAGCAGGGTGAGGCGTGGGGGCCAGCAGGGGAGGGGGGGTACCAGTCACTGCAGGGACCTGAGGGGAGACACAGAGAGGCCACCTGCTGCCAAGGGGAGGGTGAGCCCGGCACACCCCATGCCACCCATGGTGGGGAAAGTGACCACCGTTTACAGAGCTGTGGGCCAGACTCCCTTCCCCGCTGGAGCACCATGGAGCTCGGGCTGGGCACGGTCACGTCTGCGCCCCTTCCCGAGAGAGGCTGCAGGGCTGGAGACAGGCCCTCGGCCAGCACTGCTGTGGCCCCCCAGCCCAGCCCCCCAGTGTGACACCGGGCTGTGGGACTGGCCACCACGGACCAGCTGCTCAGAGGGAAGCCCTTGCTCTGGCGGCTAGAGAAGCTGAGGTCCAGGGAGGCCTCGGCTTCCAGAAGGTGGAGCGGTGCTTTAGGGTCCGGGCGGTCCAGTCCTGGCCGTGTACGGCCGGCTCCCAGGGCTGTGCCAGAAACCCTTCTGAGATCTGCTCCTTGGCCCTGAGAGCTTTTCGCTCTGAAAGGTCACAGAAGGTGGTAAAGGAGCCTTCAGGACCCAGTCTGAGGATGCACGGGAGAGGGTTGCCAGGGAAACGGCAGAGATGCTGTGGGTGACATGGGCTCCAGGCACCTCCCACGAGAGTGCGGTGGCCGCCAGGGAGCTGTGAGCAGCCGGGTGCAGGACCGCAGCACGTGTGGGCGCGTGGGGGCACGTGCATGTGAGCACGTGCACCCCGGGGCATGCGTGCTCACTCGCTACACCACAGCGTATGTGTGCATGCTGGCGTGGGTGTGCGGGCGGGCACAGCTGTCCCCACCGCGTGTGCTGAGGGGGGCCCGGGCCCGAGGGTCTTCTGTCTGGGTGGTTGGGATGAGGGGAGGCAGGGAGGCCGTCCTACGGGGTGAAGGCCAGAGGGCAGGACCTTCCCGGTTGCAGGAGACCATTGGCAGCCCTGGTCGTCTCCCTGTCCAGCTCCTGTCACCCACACTAGCAGGGCCTCCCAGACACCATGTTTCACATTTTACACGCCGCGCCCCCCGCAACTTTCTTTTTAGCCTAGGGCCAGGTATGCAGTAGGTCGTCCATAAATGCTGCCCGATGTGGCTCTTTCAGGGGAAATCATACGGAGGGTGGGGGGGACACACAGCCCAGGCCTCAGGGCCAGAGGTAACGGCTCAGGTGGAATGAGGGAAGGAAGCGGACCGGCCGTAAAGGACGTGTCTTCTTATGAGAGACAGGGACACTCTTCCACGGGTGACAATTTGCTATCCGTCTCCGTGAGGGTTTGGCAGCCAGCCCCCCGCCGGCCAGCTTCTCTCCCTGGGTGTGCATGGGAATGCGGTGGGGCCTGACACAGCCCTGTGCCCAGCACGTCCCGGGGGGCCGGCCTGAGAGCAGACAGCTCCAGTCCACACACACGCCTTCCTGGTTCTCAGACGTCGGGGCCCTCCTGCTCCAGCGAAGGCCCGGGCCTGGCCGCGTGCTGTGAGAGTCGGATTCAGAACCAGCCCCAAGGCCCCGACCCGCTGCCTCCCAGCCTCCCAGCCAGTGGCCAGGGAATGCTCTCTGAAGGATTGGGCTGGGGGCGGCTCTCGCTTTAGAAGGAGCCCCCCCCACCCCCGCCGGCTGTCATCGGGGAAGGGGCGGCAGGTGAGGCCAGAGCCAGGTGGACGGTTGGGACTGCCTGCCCTCCCAGGCCAAGGGTGCCTGGAGGGTTGTAAACTGTGCCCTGCTGGGGTCGGAAACATCACTGCAGGCCTGAATGCTGCTAGGAGGACCAGGGAGAGAAACCTCCAGCCTCGGGGCGCTTGTAGAAACGCGAGGGGCTCCTGCAGCCTCTGGGCCCGACCCCTGGCCCCGGGGCCACTCCATCCTGCTCCCCGCTTCCCGCTCTCTGCCCTCCTCTCCCCTCCAGGAGAGGGATCCCCTGCTCCACGGGCGCCGCCATCCATGGGGGTCTCGCGGCGTCGGCCCTCCAGAGGCTCCATTTTGCCTTCAAGCCTCAGGCGGGGCTGGGGAGGGGGCCAGCGAAGGAAGGAATAGAGAGACCCGGACAGGAGCTCCGGGCCTGCGGGTCCCGGTGCCACGGCTGTCCCTCACTGTGCCCAGGACACCACCTCCGCCCCCTGCCTCGGGCAGGTGCCCGTGGGCCCACTGGGTGACCGTGGGCTGTCCTCATGGTGACTTCATGACGGTGGGTCTCTGGCTCCGACCTCGGCCTTCCAGTGTGGACAGCACCTGCCTGGGGCCTCTCCGCCGATGGCCCACCCCCGTTGGCCTGTGGGAGCCCGCCTCTCCTCCCTGTCCTTGGTCGAACGGCAGGGTGGACGCTAGCTCCCCAGGAAGGACTCAGAGCCCCCTCTCCTGAGCCCCCACCTGAGCCACAGGGGCTGTTGTCTCTCTCCCTCTCTGTTTCCCTTCCTGGCCTGGGAGCAACTCGAACTTTCTAGGGCCCTGTCTGATCATTGTCTGGTCTGTAGGCCTTGGCATGAGGGGGCGGGGGCACAGGGGAGGTGGGCAGCGACTGTTTCTTGCAGAAACGAGTAACTGGGTGGACAAACCGATAAGTCCTGCCTGGCTGGACACACTGCACGCTGACCGTGACCTTTTCCGTGTCTCTGAGGCTGGTGCCTCTGGCAGCATCCTTCCTGTCCTTGCTCATCTGCGGGGCTCCTGCTCTTCCTTCAGGACTCAGCCTGGGAGCCGTCTCCTCCGGGAGGGCTTCCAGACCCGTCTCGGCAGCCCCATCCCTTGCCCCTCTGGGTCTCTCCTTCTGCCCCGTGAGCTGCCCCCCCCGGGCTCCGGTGCCTGGTGGGGAGGGGTCCTCGGGGCCTCCTCTGCATCTGTGGTTTGCCCCCCAGGAGGTGAATCCTTCCTTCCACCCCACTCCTGAGCACCGCCCCCTGAGAGCCCAGACAGAGCCTCAGGGGCGTCTGAGGGGGAGGCTGCTCACAGACATGCTGGGCCAAGAAAAGAAACAGGCATGCGGTTTTTTATTTTTGCACCTTCTTAAAAGAAAACAGCAGCATCAAAATGTTAAAAATAAACTATTTTTACTTTAAAAGGGCAAAAACGGCCCAAACAAACACAGAGCTAATGAAAAGATCTTGGCTGAAGGTACCAAAGGCTTGCTCGCAGCTGCTTGATGACGGACATTGTTCAGACCAGGACAAATCTAGCAGAGCCGGCAGCCAAGTGCCAGTCCTACTGTGCTCTAGGGGCAGACAGAAGGCCCGGATAGGCACGTGGCTCTGTGCAGAATGTGTCGAATGAGCCAACGGCAGGGTGTCTGTCACTGGAAGGCTTCTGCCAGAGAGGTGACATCTCCCCAGGCGGACAGGTGAGGGACAGGAAGTCAGGGAAGTCTTCCTGGAGGACGTGGCCCATCTGCACTAAACTTTGAAGGGTATTCCAAGCAAAGGAATGCCTTGGAGAAGGGGCCACCATAGTGTGTGTGGGGGGACCCTGTGCCAGCACAGTGGATAAGAGGGGCACTCACAAGCCGGGGACCCCGGGTTCAAATTCCACTCCTTCCCTTAGGAGCTATGACTACAGGCAAGCCACTAACGTCTCGGCCCCATCTGCTCATCTCCAAAATATGGGCAGTAAAGACACCCGTGCGGCCAGGCCCAGGCCACAGGAGAGGCCCCGGCCGAGAGCGGGCCGAGAGCAGACTTCCAGGCTGAGGTCTGTGCAGCATGGAGCAGGCTGACAGGCCGTGGCCACTGGGGGGCACTGGTCAGCAGGGCCTCGGGGAGCTCCTTCCCTGGAGGGAGTTCTAAGGGCAATCCTGCCAGTGCCTGCCCTTTGGTCGTAAGCCCACATTTGATCAGACTGTCCGCCATCTCGTTTGACTCTCACTCAATCCTAGGATAGTGGGGTTTTCAGAAGTGGGACTTGCTGCTCAGAGAGGCTGAGGTGCTTTCCCAAAGGCACACAGTGGAAGGACAGAGCATCTGTCCTGAGTTGCTCTCTTTGTCTTCTGTCATGTCTGAGGTCTCTGCTCAGAGGAGTGGGGGCCCAGGTCAGGAGGAGGGGGTGGGAGCAGAAGATCCAGAGCTTTGAGAGGAGAAGAGGAACTTGGGCCAAGAGCCAGCGTTTGGTGGTGAAGCCAGAAGGGATATGCATCAGGGCCTTGGAGAGCAGTGACACTGGCTACATTGGAGGGACATTTGAGTCCATTCATCCATCTGTCCATCCATCTATCCATTCACCCATCCTTGCATCCATCCATCCCTCTGTCCATCCATCCCTCATCTGTCCATCCATCCACCCATCTGTCCAT